CGGTGTGCGGGAACGCGGCCGGCCTCGCCGCCCCTGCGGGATGGGCTGCCCGGGACGCGAGCTCTTCTTCTCCGTTGCTTAACGCTTTTAAAAGGATCAATAACGGCAGAAAGAATTGCCTGTAAAATACAGTAATGGGTCGTGGGAGGAGTTAGGCATCAGTGGGAAAGTAATGTTTTGCAGTAGCGTGACCTCTTACAAGGGAGAAAAACTTAAGAAAATGTTATTGCCTGCGTTTTAGAAACGATCGCAGCTTTTCTCAAAAAGGCGGCATGTTTTTGGTCGGTTAAAATGTTTAACCGTAGCGTCACATCTCGCTGGCACACGGAGCGAACGTGGTCTGTGCGATTTGCTGAGCTCATGAGTGCTGTCAGCCTGTGCGCCGCGGCCCCGGGCGTGCCGGTCTAACGAGAGCCATGCTGCCTTCCTAGGTCCTCGATACTGAGTGAAGTTTCTACCAGGTCAAGATCTAAATTGCCATCGGGCAAGAATATTCTCGTTTTTGGTAAGTAGCACATGCAAGCAGTTGGGTGGTTGGGCCTTTTTTGTAGGAACAAGGCACGTTAAAACCAGCGGTGCGAACGCACTGACATCAGTTTGTTAAAATTAGGTTATGTAATACTGTCTACAGTATTACTGTCTTCAGGCCGACAGACTTACCTTCTGATTTATGCTGTTAGATTTATAACATGTATTTAAACAAATGGAGCGTAATACAGAATAATTGTTTCATTCTCTTTGGCATGGTACAAAACATTGGATTTAGCTGGAATACTTGAAAGAAAACAACAAAGAAGTAGGGTCCAAAAACATACGTAGATACTTCTGATTACTTAGGCTCGTTTCGAAAAGTCTTTCCTACAAAGTTAAAATTAATTCTGAAAGTGTCTTATGTTTTTTTCCCCCTGTAAAAACTTACTGGCAGGTGACGATGGTTCAGGTAAAACCACACTTATGGCTAAAATACAGGGAGCAGAGCATGGCAAGAAAGGAAGAGGGCTGGAATACTTGTATCTAAATATTCACGATGAAGATAGAGATGGTAAGTTCATTTTATATGTAATCTCTTCGCTGTAATTATTAAGTAGCTGACACGCGGTTTTATAACTGTGGTTTCATCAGTGCGTTTTGGGTTATGCCCAAGTAGGTGGTTCCAGTGTTGTTCTCTGTGTTTTAGAACTGATATCAGTTTCTTAAAAGTGAAATGCGTTTTACATTCAGTGTACGTTCTCCCTCTTGCCCTTCTTACAGCCTGACCTGTGTGTGAGGAAAAAGTGCGCTTGAGCAGCTCTCGGGATCCGTGTACGTTGAGGGTAGATGCACTTGCTTGTGTTGACTTACTAGCAGGTGTGTTGTCATTTAGTATGGCTACTTGGTAACTATAGAAAGTAAGTGATACATCCATGAGAATTCTCAGTATGGATTTCTGGATGTGGGGGTTTGGTGTTTCCATGTGGGGCCCATGTGTGTAATTTTGGTTAACTGTAACTGAGGTGGTTTTTGAGTTGAATGAGTGAAGAACAGAGCTTAAAGTCAGAATTAGTATTTCGTTTTTGAAATAGGAGCTTGTCTCTGCCCCTTATTTTTGTTGCTGTTGATGATTGCTCTTGTCTTCTGTATGGGATGGGGATGATGACAAGAGACTAGGTCAAAAGCAGGTCTGATGATCAGAACACTCCTGGCTTTAGGAAGGTTAGGGACAAGAGCAGATGAGAAGTGAGTTTGTTATCCTTGTTGCTAAATCTGCTTCTGCTTGTCTCATTTTGGGCAAACTGTTGGACCTCTTTGTATTTGTTTCCCTCTTGATAACCAGGGAATGACAGTCTTCCTATTCATGACTTCCTTCTGAGTTTTCAGTTCAGAAGAGGGAAGCAATGATGGTGGTTCATCCCTGTTCCTGAAAACAGATGAACTAGGAAGGTCCTATGATGGTATTTTGGAAATTGAAGTGTACTGAAGGCTTGTGCGAGTGATAAGTACCATATGTGACTGGTTGTTATGGAGATTGGTCCTGTCCTCACGTGGTAGTAAACTGCCTTTGGCTGCTAAGTTAGGCACAATTAAAGGGTTAGTACATTGCCTGCACCTTCAGTGGTCCCCTAATTTTGCAGTACCTAAAAATCTTCTGTGCTGTAAGTTTAAGTGCTGAGCCATTCTTGGCTTCTTGAGGTTCTTGGTGTAAGTGCTTTCTTACCATGCACAGTCATCTTCAGTACTGTGTAAATACTTTAGGGGAAAAACCCTGCAGTTAGGCGTGTTATGATAACCTGTGACATCAGGCTTCCGCAGAGACAAATGAGGTGGTGGAATAAGCAGAAAAATGTTTGGTGTGCTTTTTCCTGGTGCTGTCAGAACTCAACTGTGTGTCTCTGCTTTGGAAATATTTTGGGGCTATTCCTGAGTATGTGGAAGTAACAAGTATTTGGGGTGATTAGGAAAAGCCGATCATAAGAACTCAGGCAGCAGTAGGAGGGAAAGAAGAGACCTTTTTGACTACCAGACTCAGCTGGAGAATTCAGATCTTCGTGCATCCCTGTAATGGATGTGTTAGGATCTAATAATACATGCTTTTTTCCTTTCTGTCTCATTAGTGTCGTCAGCAAGCAAAATAAATAGCAAAGTGGGTCAGGACCTCCCAGCAGGCAAAGATAACATTTCCCCCCCCCCCACACCCTGCCCACGCAC